TGGTACCAAAAAAAAAAAAAAAAAATGCCATTAGTTCCACAAGTTATACTCATCACTGAATGATGAAGAAAGTCGATCATGTTTTAGGGTACGCCTGTGTAATTGATGTTTTCCCTAGAAGAGTTGCCATATTGCACTGGGACACAGTTGTATGAAAGAGATTTTAGGTATTTTTTGGAACCATTAGCACTTTTTTTCTATTAATACTTGTTTGTTTTGGGGGGTGGCATATCAAATTTATTTACTGAATATATAAATATAAAGTAATTTTTTTAATGTAAAGTTTTTTAAAAAGTGCATTAGTGAAAAATATATCAAGTAATGGTCTAGATGGATTGCTAATATGACACAAATAAGTGGTATTAAAATGACTGAAGTTTGAGAAACATATTACAAAGAGGTTTAATTCAACAAAAATATATACACGTGGATGACTTGGTGAGCTCAGACATCTGGGGTACTGTACATTGGGGTACCATCCACTGACATGTGATGACAAAAGGCATATAGAAAGCAGTCCACACAGCCTTATACAATTATGTGTACTAAGCAAATTGCTGAGAAGTAACAGTAGCTATGATGATATGCACATTCTCCAACATCCTACAGACAAGGGCATGAACTTTGTAATGCCTGTATAGCCTGGAATACTTTGCATCATTCTTTCACTGCAGTGGCAACCTTGATGTACCAGTCCAAAACAGTATGAGTATTCTAAATAGTTGCATAAATTGTCAGATTCTCTACTTCAACATGTTTTCTTTGGGAATAGAAGTGATACGTTTGTCAGTGGAACTGTTATTCCGTATTTAATAGATGCTTAAAGATATTTTAAGGTTTTCAGAGAAAGATTCTTGGAATACAGGAGATTTTGAACAAGTAAGTGAGAAACAGGACCAAATTCTTAAATATGTCTAACAAAGACGGGAGTGGCATTAAGCTAAGTAATCTCACTGGGACACAGAGCCTTCTAGGGACATTAGAACACAGGGCTCATTATTTCTGGAGCACTTAACATGTAACATTCAGACACTGCACTCTGTGATCATTGTCATTTTCTTTCTGAAATGACAAGCAGTCGACCTTACATGGAAGAAAGCACGACTACAAATAAAAGTAGCTGCTTAATTTTACTTGGTTTACCTTTTTTCTCCCTTGTATCATGTTAAAATTCCAAGTATAAAAATGTTAAACTTCCTGTCCTAAGCTTCCCCTTCTCAAATGAGGCCTAGCCTCACAAGCCTTTTGAGTTTTTAAAACTGTATGATTAGTAAACCTGCCTTAAAGAGCCAGCAATATACTGGACATGGGTCATAACTAATAACACATGAATGTCACTGGGCAGTCGAAGGAAAAGTGAGAAGCTGGAAGAGATAAATAACTACTGGGATTTACTTCAAAAATCTTGAGAATCATAAAAGAAGACTAAATCTCAAATACACAATACACCTTAAATTGTGACCAAGGGAAGAGTTGAAGGGCTTGTTGTAATAAGCTGCCAGAATCTCTGGCAGATGCCTTACTACTTTAATTTTCCAAGTTGTTTGGGTGGGTCACAACTGCACTCCAACATCCTGCCTACAAATGCTAAATAAATACCAAGTTCACGTCAGACTAGAGAACCAACGCACTAACGTGGTTACTCAAGGAATTTGAATACTTCTTTTCACTTGATAATTCACATCCACACTAATTGAAGTTGGCACAGCCAGAAGTGTATATTATATATATATATATCCCTTGTGCAAATGCTCAGAGGGATAATGAAGGTAGCCAAATGTAGATTCTGTTAGGAGCTGTGGGAATCAGCTTAGACTGTATCTACTGTAATAGAACAGTTTTTATTTCAGATGTAGGCTGCAGGGCAAGTATTGGTCTTGCAGATAGTAAGAGATATTTGCAGGGTGTAAGGTTTTGAAGCACTCCTAGGAACTAACAAACTAGGAGTCTCTGTGTACACAAATCAATGAATATACATGTCATTTTAAAAAACTAAGGTTTAGAAAACATTGAGCAAGGAAACAGGCACAGTACATGCAGCCACTTGTCTAGCAGCAATACATTAGATTTTTCAGATTAAACATTCCAGCACCACCCCACTCAAAGTGCCTGCTACACTTTCCTGAGTTTTTTAAGAGGCAATTTACATCCCTACAACCGACCCCACAGGGTGATACTAAATCTGATCACAAGGAACAGTTGCTAAGTCTCCATACCCTTTCAACTTTGCTCCTGAGGAGAACATGTAAGTTTTCAGTGTTTAAGTGTGGTGCTTAGAGAAAACGACTTTAAAAAAAAATAAACAAAAATCTCAGTGGCAACGGGTGTGTTCCTTATAAAGGTGCTTACAGAATCAGACCCTGAAAAACACAGACGCCTCATTTTCCAAAGGAGGAAATGGGTTTAGACGTTTTGAGAGGTCTCTAGTCTGTTTGGCTGGTTTACAGTCCTGGTCTCCCAGCTGATCTGTCTCTTCGCTTTGTAAGTTTCAGCAATTAACCAAGCCTGCCTGGGAGCTTGCTTCCCCCCCACCCCCCCAACTTCCCTGTGATGTTTTGAACTGCCTTCTCACAGACGTCATTCAGCCCTTGAGGAATAGTTTCTGCCTGGTGAGATTGAATGATACAGTTCTTATTCACAAAGGTTTAGAGTCAGATTCTAAGCAGGGGACACAACGGAAATGCCATTGGCAGGTAAATCTGCCCACCCCGATGCAGGGTGGAGAGCTTTGTTCCTTCCCTGACTTCTCTGCTTCACCAAGAAGACTGTTTTCCTGTGGTTGCGCCGAAGTGAAATTTCTTGGCAGGTCTCCGTGTTACAGGACCCGGTCATTGTCATTTTCTCTTCCTTTCTGTCTAGATGAGCACCTTCAGTGTTGGAAAGCTTTAAACCTGTGATTAATGGAGTTGCAAAATAGAGGGGATCAAGTGACCCCTTCAGTGCACTCCTTTCCTCTGTGACCCAGATGAAGAATAGATTCAAAAAAGCTCAGTTCCACCCTTGGCAATGCAATACAGAAAAGAAACTGTCACTTCCGAACAGGCTAGTACCCGGAGTAAAAGCATGAAGGAGGACAGCGCTCCTGGGGTTTAAGCCTTCCCGGAGAGCCGGACTGAGCACAGGAGGTGAACTCCAGGAAAAGGGGATTTCTTCAAGCAGTCCGCCTGGGAAAAGGAATATGTAAAATCTCCTTTGCAGAAAGACAGGTGACATGCATTAATTAGAAGACTTGAAAACACTTTTTTCTTTTTCCTTTTTTTGTTCTTTTTCCAAAATGAGCATTATTATGAAGCCAAGATCCCGGTCAACAAGTTCCCTAAGGACTACAGAAGCAACTTGGTAAAGTGCTTTTTCTCCTGCTTTCCCTCTTTCCATTTTAAGACTGACAGAATACGGAGTAGGTAGTGATTACTGACGCGGGCTGGTGTGTGATGTTAAGGTTTTGTAAGAACAGAGTGTTATTGGTGGCTCTTTTATTCTCTGTTTGCTCCCTGATCTTGTCTGCTCTGTCCAAAGAGGTGCTCACGTTATTTTTTAACTCCCTGTGGACTGTAGTAACTTATCAGGCGATAATCTTTGGAGAAAAAAAGAAACCGATAGCTGTGTTCGGAGTTTTGAAAATGAAGACTTTTTCATTTTTCTCTGTATGCTTTGGTCGCTTGTTATTTCAACTTCTCTGCTTGCTGCAAGTGGGCTGGAAGTTGTGCTTAAACACAAGTTTTGTGTTTAAAAATAATAATGCCTTGCGTGTTGGCCCAGATGTGTTTTATTTCTTTAGTATTTTATTTCTTTAATCATATATGCATGAAACCAACTTGAATATAAAACTATGTAGTTAAATCTATATCAAATTGCTAATCATTAAGTTATCTTTTATGATTTAATCATATTCCCTGTTAATCGTGGTTTTAGTAATTTTTATTTCTACCATTTTTTTAGACATTCTTGCTATGGAGCCTCAAACTCTTAGCAATCCTCCTGCCTCAGCCTCCCAAGTACTGGGATTATAGACGTGCGCCATCCTATCTGGCGATATTTCAACCATATTACATGTTTGTCTATTTCAATGTATTCTAATATTCATTTTACTGTTTCTCCAATGCTGCTTTGAAATGCTTAATAAGCATATGACCCAGAAGGAAAATTTCCCAACAAAGTGACTCTGGTGTCTAGAATAGCTATTTATAGAATATATGGCTGTTTCAAAGTTAATCTCATTTATCTAGTGATTGTAAATAAACAACAAACTCACCTCTTTGAAATGGAAGTAATTATACTTTCCATAGGAGAAATAAGAGCAGTGACTAAGGGCAGAGGGTTGGGACAGGATGTAAGCAGGCAAGCAAATCTATTACACATTTGTGAGCAGGCAAAGACAGTCTAAACATTCAAATCATTTCCATCAGAAATTCAGCCCTGCTTATGTGGATGGGGACTTGTGTGCTGTTATTACCCTAGTACTTTATAGTGAACCAAAAGTAAGAATTGCCCATTCGGTAGTATTTCTAATGAAGTTTTAGTAAGTTGTAGATAAAGATTTTGCCACCTGTAATGCTTGTATTTCCTTATAAAATAATACATGTGATAACCCATTGAGTTTATTTCAAGACAATTTTTATCTACAAATATATTTGTAAAGCCATTTATTTTGCTAATACTGGGAAATATTCAGAACTAGTTCATGAATTCCCATACCAAATCTAAATCTCTGATGTATGTAATCACAATTCATAAAATAAGTGAATCTTATGCATTTGTGATAGCTCACGTGTAAGAAAATAGAAACTAAAATAAATAGGATTTAACCAAGCTATTTTTCTCATTGCCTAAACTGCTAGGAGACATTTTCAAATTCATGGCTCAAATGGCAAGAACTAATTTCAGGAGACTAATGTTAGCACCCTTTACTCTTCAGAAATTGTCACAGTTTATTTTTATCCACAACTCTTGTGTTTTATTTTAAATTGTATGAGATATTGTCATACGTAAATAGGTCCACAATTCAAAATACTATTAAAAATCTTGATTTGTTAATATGCCTATTGTTCCATTTAATTTTAAATATTCTACATAGTGTTGTAACTACAGTACACCAACCTTTTTAATTTACATCTGACTTTATACTATAACTATTTCAACTTTCAAATAATTTGGCCTAAGTTTTTAATGGTCTATTACAATAGTTTTGCCATTTGATTATCCTTTTTTATCATTCAGAAACAATGGATGCATATTTATTTGTCTACATTTATTAATTTACTCAAGCTTGTATTACAAAATCAAGATAGATTACAGATTAGGTACATAGCAAAATATATACACATAAACACACATACGTATTTCCTAGTTATCAGTAAAAGACAAAGCAAGCTCCAATGTCTTCTTCCAGCGTTCCTATTCTAGCTTCTTAACCACCCCCATTCCTTTTCAAACGCAAAGCCTACTTCATCTTCTTTCACAGTTGACTTCCTGAGAAAGAATCCTACTGATTTACTGTTTTTCCCTTTTCCCTAACTTTTTTTCATTTTGTTTTTCAGAATACTTTGTTTTGGGGGCCTTTCTGTTGATTTTATCATCTTAATTTTGTCTGTATAAATCAAATTCCTTTCCACTGGCCTGCTTTTCCAAATCTGTCTCCCAGTCTTCCTTGAGATGCCCCAAAGTCAAATACTACCTTTGGAAGTCTCCTGTCTTCTTCTGCAGACTGACTGCAAAAGGTCAGCCTTACTTGTAATTCAAGTTTTATGAATTTCAAACAAATGAAATAAAAATAATCTTGAAATTAGCCTATTTATTTTCTTATAAAATATGATATAAATTTTGAGTTTATATAATAAAGGCAAATGAGATGTTGCTTTTATTTATCCAGTAGTGATTGAGTTCCTACTGTAAGCCAAGTTAGAGCAGACAGTGATTATGGTATTTATTCTTAAGCATTGTTTTAAAAACTTCTCATGCATGAGATTGAGAAAACCTTAATATGTGTATTTTCTTATGCTCATAAAGTTAATGCAGTTAGGAAATTTATTGATTGGTGCATTATTTGCCTTTCTTTTTCCATTGTTTCAATAACAATAGTCTATCTTCTAGTTCTGTGTAACAAAACAATGACATTGCATTCCATAAATATTTGAATTTTATGCATCTTAAATTCAGATTAATTTAACAAAATAATATTGCAATGATATTATCTTATTCTTTCATATCTTTATCACATTTTTCTATTTATAAACATATCCTAGGGATACTTATTAATCTAATTAAGCTATGTTATTTAGTTTAAGTAAAAATTAAATCAGCCTTGAACATAGAAATATAGAGAATTTTGGTAAATACTGAACTTTATTCTTTAGTATTGTCAGATTGTTCACTGTTTAGAATTTACTTGTTACATTTAAGATTATTACATAATTGGGGGATATGTTTTCCTCCAAAATACAACTGTGACTTTTTTGTAAAGCAAATCTTAAAGTTGAGATTAAATATGTAAAAATTGTACTTACTTTTATAGACATAGAAAATAGTCTGAAGGGCTCTCCTCCAAGTTTTGGTGCTGTTTACCTTTTAGGGGTAAAACTGGCCAGAGCAGGGACATACTTTTTATACTGCATTACTGTATTGCAGGAATTTTTTCATTATGAAAATACTAGACATGAAAGTTTGAGTTCATCCTTTTTAGTGTAGATAATCTATCCATTCAAGAACAGTTTGCTCATGGTTCAAAATCTGAGCATTTCAGTACAGGGTAGATACAATTCTTTGAGTTACTTTGAAGCTCAAACCAATAAACCAAGCTCTCCTCCTAAGTTATAAAAACCCAAACTGACTGAGCATTCTTACTCTGGCCTTAAGATCACAGTGGAAAACATTTGATTAGGTTAATATGATTGGTTTTATAAGTGAGAATGAAAAAGTTGTAACACTCTTTAACATACTGATGGGAAAATTACTCATAGCCCCCATTATCCCATCCTTAACTATTCTCATTTTTAACTTAACTTACATACCTTAAAAGAATTGTAAATATTGTTTCTGTACTCTGCTTTTCATTTACCAGATCACTATCTTTTGAATAATAATTCTTTTATCTTTTACTTTATTGAGTGTCTTTTATGAATAAGAATTATGGATAATTTTAGGTGGAATATATTATTTGGTTCTTATAAAACCACTGAAAGGATGGCGTTGCTAATTCAAAATTAATGGAGGCAAAAATGAGTCTGAGATAGAATAACTTGGGCAAGGCCATCTAACAGAACTGCCAAGGACAGGATCCGGGTCGTTTTATTCCACAGAAAGCGCTCTTTTTCACTTCAGCATGTTAGCTCCACTGCTGTCTAAATAATTATCATTCTTAATGACTGCAAAATGTCCATCTTATAAATACATCTGAATGTACAACGATATGTGGAAATTTTCTCTTTAGAGGTATGATGGTCTATACAATTTAGGGCTGATGTTGTGTGTTAAAAATGTCTATTTGAAAGATGCTTGTAGTGGTAGTCTTTCTGTCATCATGTTCTCCACTACCAGCAAGTAAGCTCATCTGTGCCCTACAATAGAGAACACCAAGCAAAAGGTCAGTGGCTCCCAGTTTTGAATAGATCATCTTTCCAATTATGTTAGCAAGTTGTGCTCTGCTCTCTGCAAGCTCTGTAAGGTTAGAAACAAGTCCTGCTTCTCCAGTTTTGTGTGAAGTTTCATAGGTTTTGTATCAGCTTTGAAAAACACGTGAAACCTTCCTCTGTCTGGTTTTAGAAGCTTGTGTAAGTGAAAACTAAACAGGATTTGCATATTTACTGCCAATCCAATATATATTGTGATTTTGCTTGAGTAAGTTATTGCTATTGAAATTGGTTCAGAATTTTAACCATACAATATATATTTTTGATATTATTCTGCTGATGTCACATCTTTTAAGCAATAGAGCTAAAGAAAAATAATGTTTTGGAGAAGTGATTAAGATACCTTGAATATTATTTAAAATATAACCAGGGAAACAGAGTAGTTTGAAGATTACTCCTTAAAGTCCTAAGTTATCAAATTACCTGGAAAAAGTCGTGTGTCCACTCCACATCTATAATGCTCTGTCACTGGAAAAACCACTTAGTCCCTCTGCAGCCAAATCTATTCACCTGTAAGAGAAAAGATGTAAACTACAGTCTGAATTTCAAACATTTTTTTTTATTTGGACACTTTTTCCAAATGAATGTAACTTGGATTTTAATACAAATGTTTTTATTTATATTGAACTTCCTGAGGAATTTAAATACCAACAGTTCAAATGCCTCTGCCTTATAAAACCTAACATTCATGGGACATTTCTCACCTCTGAAAAA